TTTCTTTGCGTTAAAATTGGAATAAAGTTGATGATTTTGAAAGTAACTGTTACTTGCAAAATGGTTTACTTCTTTTAGTTGTTTGCGAGAAGAAAAGTAACTAATCCAATCGTATTTGGAATCAAAATGTTAAAATAAATAACTTCTACTCGAAAATAGTTTACTTCTTTTACTTGTTTGTAAGAAGTAACTTATCCACCCATATTTGGAACCAAATGGTCGAAATAAGTAACTTTCGGTTCTCGATTCTTTCTCTTGTAGGAGAAACTGGATTCTAGAAAGCAAATAGAGTGGCCTGAGCTGAAACCTTGTTTGTACAAGCGTCGTTGAGCATTGATTCGATATGCTATCCTTCTGAAGTCATTATGTACGTATACAGTGGTGCCCTTGTTGTAATACAGAATACAAGAGTTCTCATGGTTTTTGATCTTGTTCATCTGGAGGTTTGGATGATCATGGGATGCCTTAGGCCATTTCAATTGGCTGGGATTACACTTCATTGGACGGCCGATCCGATAGAAAGTGGTTAACTCGTCATCCGGTGAGGTGATATATAAACATGGGTCTTCTCAAATCGCCAAGGGAATAGTTTTATAATCCACTTCTGAGGATGTGGCTAGTTGTTTTGTTGGGTGACTTTTTTAACTTTCATTTAATTTTTTCCCTATTTAATAGGGAAGCTTTTATAATCAGAATTTGTCCCATTTTATTGTAGCTTTCGGAAATCCTAACTGCGCGTCTTGAAAACAATATTTTTTCAATGACAAAATAAATTTTGATTGATTGATGACAGATAGATAGACGTAAATGAAGAGAAGCACTTTGTGTGCAGAAACCGAAGCACTTGGTGTTCAGTTTGGGATTAGGGGTTCTGTTCCTATCGACACCTCACAATTGGGTGCGTTATTTTTTGACAATTTTTATTTCTTTGTGAACACGGCTTCTGTACACTTAGAAAAATTAGTACATGAATGCGTGAAAATTTGATATGTATTTATTATTATTATTATTTACAGAATCCAGCTTCTGTGCACTCAGAAAAATTGATAAATGAATGCGTGAAAAATTGATATGAATTTATTATTACTATTGTTTTAACTGTACCGTATATTACATGGATCATGCAAAGGTGTTAAGTAGCATTGCAGCAATGTCGTTTTGATGAGTCTCATCCTCCCCTTCTAATTTATTTGTTGAATACTCCTTTTTGTTTTTTAACAACAAAAACAAATTCTATTCATTTGGCTTTGTTTGATTCTCATTTTTATTAAAATTAGTCAGTATCACGTGCGTTGCACGAATTTTGTATTTATCGTATTTTAATTAGTGTATGAATTTTAGTTTTTTGAAAATTTTTGAAACAATATCTAAAAATATTTCCATGATATAAGAAAATAATTGTAAATTATTTTTATAATTCATAGTAATATGTTATCTAAAAAAAATATGTTGGTATATTTCATGCTTGAATAAGAAATATACAAACTATTTTACTTGTATTCTTTGATAGTGTTGATATGATCGAATTGAATGTGAAGATTATATTTCTAAATTTTGTGTAATTCAATATTGTAAAATTGAAAAAAAAAAAAAACTCTCCGCACAGTGGGAAGAGAGTTGAACCAAGTGCGATGTAAAAATAAAAAAAGGTGTGGAAAGAAAAAAAATATTCGCACAGTGCGGAGAGGGTTGAACCATATGCAGAGAGTTAGTAAACTCTTCGCACGGTGCAGAGGGAAAAAAATATCTCCATACAGTGCGAAGAGATGACAGACCAACTCTCCGCACTATGTGAAGAGAATTAATCTCTTCGCACAGTGCGGAGAGTTGATCCGCACCATGGCAAAACTCTCCACACAGTGCGAAGAATAAAAACTATCTGCATAGTGCACAGAGAATTGAATCCTATGCGGAGAGAAGATATCTCTCCGCACAATACGGAGAGAATTGAACCATGTGTGGAGAGTGGGCAAACTTTTCGCAAAGTGCGGAGTAAAAAAAAACTCTCCGCACAGTGTGGAGAGATGACAAACCAGCTCTCCGCATAATACAGAGAGAGAAAAAAACTCTTTGCACAGTGTTGAGAATTATTTTCAAATTCCTTAATTACAAGTCAAATTTCATGATTGAAAATTTTTCGTATATACATCAAAACAGAGTCGAAAAATATGGCTCAAAATCAATTATGTCTTCTTTAAATTCCAGTCATAGCTTCTGAGCATGTAAATCATATTTACGGTATTGGAAATGAGCTTTCTCATGATTCATACAATGAAACAATATGTGAGTTGTGCAAAGAAAGGGATATTGATAGTACTATGACATTGCTTTCACAAATAGAGGCTCTAGGGTACCACGCAAATTCAATATTTTACACTTGCTTGATAATGGCTCTTGGACATTAGAATCGGATACAATTTTCAATGAAATTATACTTTCGGGTTGTAGGCCAGGAATTAAAGTGTTCAATGCATTGCTCAAAAATTGTTTGAGAAAAGGCCTCTTGAAACTTGCAGATAAAGTCCCGAGAGTTTTTGTTTTTCTCTTCACACTGTGCGGAGAGATAGTTTGTCATCTCTCCGCACTTTGTAGAGTCTTTTTTTTTTTTTGCTCATGTGCGAATTTTTTTTGTCTCATGGAGTTTATATATACTAAAATTATTATTATTATTTTAATGTTGTTGGCATGATGCGTGTGTGGAAGAATATTTGTCAATCACCATAAACAAAATTATTCACAAAATGCAAAAAATAAAAATACATAATAAATCTTCTTATTACGCTAATAAAATTACAATAATTTTTTTTTTACAAATAACATAAAAAAATTATTTTTATCTTCAACAAAAAAACACATTTAAAAATTAGCAATTTCTTAACCACTTTTTTTTTATAATTCTCGAAAATGCAATTATAAAAAAGGAAACAATATTGAATTACAACATTCAATACTTAAGAAATTCAATATTAAATAAATTGTATACATTTATAACAAATTATAAATCCATATATGCAACTTACCATATTTGCAAGCAGCTTACCGTATATACAACTTACTGTATATGCTGCCTACCGTATTTACAAATAATTTACTGTATTTGCACCTTACTGTATATGCTGTCTACCGTATTTACAACTTACCGTATTTTCAACCTAGCGTATTTGCAAACAACTTATTGTATTTTCACCTTACCGTCTTTATAGCTTATCGTATATGCTGCCTATCCTATTTGCTACTTACTGTATATGCTGCATACTGTATTTGCAGCTTACTATATTTTTATATACCGATTTTTGCACTTACAAATACCTAGAATGCAGAACACCGTACATTCACTTACCTAACCGAATTTCAAAAAAAATTTCAGATTTTTATTTTTTCAACATAAGTATAAAATAAATATTAAATATATATGAAGCATAAAATTTAAAAATATAACCTTCACATTCAACTCAATCATATCAACACTATCAAAAAATACAAGCAAAATAATTTGTATAATCTCGTATATTTCTTATTTAAGTATGAAATATACAAGTATATTTTTTCTAGATGACACAATACTGTTATGCAATTGTAAAAATAATTTGCAATTATTTTCTTATAACATGGAAATATTTTTAGATATTACTTCAAAAACTTTCCAAAAAATTAAAATTCATACACTAATAAAAATACGATAAATGCAAAATTCGTGTAACGCACATCACAATCATTGTGTGGAGAGGGTTTTTTTTTTTTTTTAACTTCGCACTGTACGGAGAGTTTGCCAATTCTCCGCATTGTGCGAAGTTTTTTTTTTTTTTTTTTTTACTCTGCACAGAATGTCATCTCTCGGCACTGTACAGAGAGATTTTTTTTTATTTCGCATTGTATGGAGAGTTTGCCAACTCTCTGCACTATGCGGAGTTTTTTTTTTTTTACTTCGCACATGGTTTGTCATTTCTCTACACTGTGCTGAGAGTTTATTTATTTTATTTTTTTAAAGCTCATTGCGAGGAGGTTTTTTTCCTCATAGCAGTTTATATTTACTAAAATTATTATTATTTTCTTAATGCTAGTGGCATGATGTGTGGAAGAACATTTGTTTGACATAATTATTTTTTTAATGCTAATGGGATGATGTATGGAAAAATATTTGTTTGATATAAACAAAATGGAAAATAAAAAATGACATCATGCATAGTAAAATTGGATTCATTTACTATTGCATGAATAGTAGATCCTCATTCCCTATTTTATTATAAGTTAGTTATCTTACATCAATCTCCCCCACTTAAAAAAATAGTTCGAAGAGTGCATTAATCTACCAAGATGAAAAATATCCAAATTTCTTGCATAATACCATGAGGATTAGAATTTAGCTTGTACTTGAGGAAAATCTCTTGCCACTTCTTATCGTATTCTAAACTTGTAGAGGCATGCAACATTGATAGCAATTAAATTTTGCAATTTTTTAGCACCAGTATTTGCGAACCTATCCATCTTCGTTTAACCTATCATCTATTAAGGGATACAATTCAACATCGAATAAAGATGAAAAATATAGACCAACTTATAAATGATTACGTAACTCTTTTTAATGGGGTTGATCTTTTACGATACATCTCAAATCTTAATATATTATTAGAGTTCATTGAACTTCAACAAACAATTCGATCAGATAAGACTCAAAATATGAGTACGAGATATCAAATTTGGTCTGCTCAAAAGAGGCATCATCTTGCGAAGGCATGTTAAAGGATAAAACTACACATCGAATAAAGATAAAAAAAAATAGATCAATTTATAAATGATTGTACTACTTATCTTAATAAAGTTGATCTTTTAAAATAGAACCCAAGTTTTAATGAAGTGTGTGGTTAAAATGTCATAAATGCCATAAAATATATGATTAAATTCATATTGACATTGATTTTGATAAAAATCTAGATTATATTTTTTGATCAACCAGGGGCTAATTATATTCTAATTGATACCATCCAAACACGGCTTATGGAGTATTAAATGGTCCATCCAATTCCTGATTTCCTCCTCCCCCTTGAAATGCCCAATTCTATTAAAACTTAAGGTTAAACTTTAAACTGAAAATTAGTAAATTACTATTGAAAAGCTCGAGAAATTCAATTTTGTTAATATTTTAAGTTTCTATCATTGTCTGATCAAAGAGGGGTTTTTATAGCTGTAATTGTGAAGCTATGGAGGTGGAATTGGTTACCGATGGTATGTCGGAGGATGAAAATTACGTTGCCGATGATATTAACGTTGATGTAAGTTTCAATTTCTTATTTATGTTTTAGTTTTTTAAACCTTTCTATACCTTTTACAGAATAAAAATTTTACTGATTGCTTAAAGTTTGTTATTTTAAAAATTCAAGCCTCAGATTTGCCCATTTGAAATATTATCAAAATTCAAGCTTCAAATTCTTTGAAATATTGTCAAATTTAAATGGCAAAATTTTCTTCCGTAATTTAATTTTAGATGGACGGGAAATAAACAGCAAAAGTTAACTCATAAAAATTAAAATGAAGGGTTAATGTGAAGTACAGAGAAACTTAGTTTAGCATATATAAGTAATACATAGTTGTGCATTTTATACTCTTAACTGTTAGGAAATAAATGAGCTATCACTTTTCACTTTTGATTGCCTGAATATATCTTCTTTATAAGGTGACAAGTTGAATGGTTTGATTTTTGGCGTTCTGAAATCTCTAATTAGGTATTTGGCTAAGTATATCCATTTGCAGTGTACATTATATATTATTCTTCTGTCACTTAATGTATTTGCAGGAGTATCTGAACCTCGAGGGTGAAAGATGTGGGATTTGCATGGATGTTGTAATTGACAGAGGCGTCATCGATTGCTGCCAACATTGGTATGCATATGTTAGCATGATATGTTTTTCTCAGTACAGTTGGTCTTTTTTCTGCCATTTTCATATTGATTTTTTGTGTTACCATTGATATTTTATTTCTCACCTTCTCTTGTTGCCAAATGTAACTTGCTCTGTTCTGCTTTATCCTGATTGTTTATTGAAAGCCTCACTCCTTTTGAATTGCTAGACAACTGTATTACAAAGTGTTTAATCACTTCTAAATTTCTAGAGTACATAGCCACTTGCTTGGAATTTAATTGAGTAAAGTCTTTGTTACATAACTTGAAGGGAATGAAATAATGCAGCCTTTTCAAATCAGTTATTGAAATTTAGGGGTAATTATATATTCTTTTGCTGTATAATATCCTTCAAGTCGTGACACCCTTTGGATTATTCTTGGTATAGTTTTGATGCATGCTTGATTCTGTACTTTTGTTAAGAAGGAGGTTATTGCTTCTGCCTATCTTCACCTTTTAGGTTAAATTAGTGATGGCTAATTTATATGCACTCTTTCAGTGTAAATTTATATTTATTTATCAGAAATGCTGCAATGTTTTTTTCTGCCTGGTGATGTAAACTGCATCTTTTCTGTTGGGTATTAATGTTGCAAGTAAAAACACAATTCATCATTAATGTTGTTTAGTTGCTCGGTAGAGTTTTATATTGAATCATTATTGTATGTACATATCTTTGAGAAACCGTCTGTTTAACAATTGAGTAGCTTATATGCAGTATATAATTAGCAGTGCGAGGAATATGTTTCAATGGAGCATTGGAGTTAATGCCAGATTTGTGGCTAGTTTTTGAATTATATCAGCTTAATTTGATGTTAATTTTATTTGGGTGATGTGGATATCATTTAAATTTCAGGTTCTGTTTTGCATGCATTGACAACTGGGCTACCATCACAAGCCTATGCCCACTTTGCCAGAATGAGTTTCAACTGATAACTTGTGTGCCCGTGAGTAACAACAGTTGTTTGAATTTTTGGACCCTTCTTCAATCTTCATCGTCATTTTGATGGCCTTGTATTCATACGATGGCTTCAAAGCCTGTGTGCTTCTTTTATTGTTGTGCACATGATGTGATTCTTAATGGCATTATTAAATGGCTACTTATGCATATCATGGTTAATGAAGGTATATGATACAATTGGTAACAACAAGATTGATGAGGATTCATATCAAAGGTAAGCATTCGTGACTTTGTTTTAGCTATTTTGTTCTCATATTATATGGGCTTTGTATTTCACGTTTCCAATAATGGTCTACCGAGTAATAGGAAGAGATTTGATGCATAAAGTAGCCATTTGTTCGGGTTGAGGAAGTGTGAAGGAGAACATATT